CCCTGGTGGAGCCCTTTCTTGATTTTGAACCATCCAGTGTCTCCCTCCTCTGTTCTGATGACTGCCTCTTGGTCCAAGTATAGGTTTCACATTAGCATGATCAAGTGTTCTGGGATTCCCATTCTTCTCAGAGTAAGCCATAGCTTGGTATGATCCACACAGTCAAAAGCCTTTGCATAGTCAATGAAGCACAGATAGACATTCTTCTGGTATTCTCTCCTTTCTGCCAAGATCCATCTTACACCAGCACTGTTGTTGTTGTTATGTGCCATCGAGTCGCTTGCAACTCATAGCGACCCTGTGTACAACATCCCTAAACTCTGCTCTGTCCTGTGCCAATCACACTGTCTCCGATACACCCATCCCAATTACCCCAGTCACTGAATCAATCCACTTCATAGGGGGCCTTCCCCTTGCGCTGTCGCTCCACCCTACCAAGCATGATGTCCCTCTCCAAGGACCTGTCCCTTCTTACAACATGTCCAAAGTATGTTAGACAGAGTCTTAGAATCCTTGCCTCCAAGGAGCAGCCCGGTTTGACCCTTTCCAGGATGAATCTGTTTGTTTTCCATGGAGTCCATGGTACTCTCAATACTCTTCTCCAGCACCACAGCTCAAAGGCATCAATTCTCCTTCTATCCTCCTTAGTCATTGTCCAACTCTCTGATGCATAACAAGTGATAGCAAAGACCATGGCCTGTATCAGACGCACCTTAGTCTCCAAAGAGACACCACCGCTCTTCAGTACTTTGGAGAGGTCCCTAACAGCAGACTTTCCCATGGCAATACGTCTTCTAATTTCCTGGCTACTGGTGCTGAAAGTGTTGACTGTGGAGCCAAGCAAACTGAAGCTGTGAACAATCTCAATCTCTTCACCATCCATCCTGATGCTGCCAATTGGCCCAGTGGTGAGAATCTTTGTCTTCTTGACATTGAGCCTCAATCCATATTGAAGGCTGCAGTCCTTGACCCTCTGCAGCAAGCGCTTCAGGTCCTCCTTAGTTTCAGCAAGCAGGGTTGTATCATCTGCATATCGCAGATTGTTGATAGATCTTCCACCAATCTTGACCCCACATTTCTCCTCATAGAGCCCAGCCTCCTGGATAATCTGTCCTGCATACAGGTTGAAAAGGTATGGAGATAGGACACATCCCTGACCATGCAGTGTTTCCTTGCTCTGTTCTGATGACTGGTCACATCATAAGAAACTGTCTGAAGTTGACGTATTTGGAATCACGGAATCCAAGAAAGCTTCAGATATAAGCTGTCAGATCAAAGGGGGGAAACAATGGGAGATGGATGTTGAAGGGAGTGGGTAGAAGTGGATGGGCATCCTGCCTGGTGCATGGTGGAGCAGGGAAATAAGTGGGTGAAGACACGTGTGCCAAGGAGAGGGACAACACTGATACTAATGGTTAAATCCACAATAAGGGATATATCTTTCACTTTTCTGTAAATTGCTGGTCTGTCTGATACTTCTCTAAATCTGAACATTCAGATTAAGACAGACTAGGAAGAAGGATTGGCCATCCACTTCTGAAATAGCAGGCCTCCGAAAACCCTATGTACAACAGAACACATGTAGATAACAGAAAGGGCAACTGAGGCTGAGCTTTCATGTATGGAAATACAAAGGAAGAGGAATAGTTGTAAGCAGACACTAATGATTAGGACATGGAATTTAAGAATCATGAATGTAGGAAAATTAGATATTGTTAAGGAAGAAATGGAACGCATAAATATAAATATAAATACTAGGCAATGGGGAGATGAGATGGACTGACATGGACACCAGCACTAAGAAGGCATTAATCCTTCAGTCTTTATCTGCATGTCCTTATTCACAGTCCTGAAGTCTATTCCAACTCATGGCCACACACCGCCACCTAGTGGATTCTCACTGATAGTGACCCTGCAGACTGAATACACGTGGCCACAGGCTCCCAAGGCTGTAACTTTTTTTTTTTTAAGGCTGTAACTCTTGACAGAAGCCCTATACAGACTCCCTTCTCAGTCTCCCCCAAGAGTGGCTGGTGGCTTTGAACTACTGACCTTATAGTTAGCAGATGAATCCATTAACCACAGTGTCAGTAGACCTTCCTTTCCCATTTTGCTTCTTTTTTCAACTTTTTATTGAGATTTGAGTGAAAAGTTGCAGATGGGCATTCCATTCATACACATACTGCTTTTTAAAATTTTATTATTTTTTGTGTGTGTGTATCGTCAAACCAGATCTGACTGGTACAGGGGGAGATTGCCCGTCCTTCCCCGGCAGAGCATCTGGTGGATTCGAACCGTGCACCTCTGGGATTGTAGTTGCAGCTTCTTGCCACTAGGCCACCAGAGCTCCCCTCACATACTGCTTTTATAACATTGATCGCAACCCTGACGTTGTATCAGCGCTTTCCCCCACCCCCCTGTGGATCTAATTTCCATTCTTCTATAGGTAATTTTTTCCCATGTGGTTTACAGCCTCCAAAAACTCACCGAAGGGTCAGCTGCAGCTGGATGATACTGATTTGAGAACCTCCACCTCCCACCTTCTTTAAACCTGGATGAACGCTTCCGTTTTGATCTTTGTGGTTGATGTTTCTAAGGACTGGTATGTGCCCTGAGTGATGGTTCATCGTATGAATTTGTCTGTAGTTTGGCTCGAAGTCGCTTCACAGGGGTCAGTTCAGTTCCAAGCGGGAAGGTTGAGTAAGGGTCATGGTTTTGGCTGTTCCATCAAACTCTTATCTGTAAACCTGGCCATTTTTACGATTTTGTTCTAATTTACACTGCGCTCGATCCAGGACCCTCTAGTAGGACCCCTTTCAGAGGCCAGCAGTGGCAGCGGGCACTGTCTAGTTGGCCTGGCCTCGTGGTGTGGGAGCTGAGGTTTAGCAGGCATGTTAGTGCTGTGTAGTAATAGTTACTGTCTTAACCGAGTCCTAAGCGCCTTTGTTCCCTAGTGCGCACGTTCCTATTGGCGAGAGCAATTCTGTACAGGTGAAGTCAATGATTAGAGACTCTTCAAAGGATTAATCTTCAAACCCAGCCTTCTGGAAGGCAGGGGATGCGTTTCCTTAAGATGGGCTACCTGGGATCCTAAGACTAGAAAATGCTCCCAGGACGTGGCATCCGGGGGCCCTTTCTGCACACGTGGTAATGGCGTTTGCAGACTCCCCCCCAAAGGCACCTTCAGATGTCATAATGCCCCCACCTTCCTTCCGGGGTCTCCTGGTGCGAGGGGCGAACCCTTGCGTAGATTCCACGAGGCGAGGCCCAGGGGCTGCCCGACGTCACAGCGGCCGCGTGTGGCCTCACTGCTCCGGTCATAGAGGGGCGCACGGGCCAGGCTGCTGCCGGGTGGTCGCTGTGCGGAGGCCGGGGCGCTAGCAGGGACGCCCGACGCGGGACCCGACGGCCTCGTCTTCGCAGAAGGGACGCTGCCACTTCTTCTGGGTGAAGCCGAGGACACTGGACGTGGCGCGCTGGGGGATGCCCTGCGCGGACCCGGGGGCTCAGCATGGGTCCCTTGAAGAGGAAGTGCATCTGCGACCTGTGCTCCTGCGGGTAAGGGGGCGCCCAGGGCAGGCCCTCTGCTGGGACCCCTGCGGGGCGCCGGCTTTTCCGAAAGGCCCAGCAGGGCTGCTCCAGGGGAGGGAGGTGTGGACCACGGAGCAGCCTTCCAAAGGCCACGATGGTGCAGGAGACGCCGGCCCGGCGCAGGCACGTCCAGTGGCAGCTAATGCACCCGGGGTGGAGTTTTCGTGCGCATTGAGGTTCCCCACCTTTCTGCGGTTCAGAGGTTCCGAGCTGCCAGGAGGTTGCAAAAATGGCCCTGCCCAGGTGCGTTTGTTCTCGCTGCCTGCAGCCTGGAGAGGAGCGCAGCAGGACGGCCAGGCTGCCACGAGCCCCGCTCCTTTTGTGGGTCCTGTTGGAGGGAGATGGACAGGTGAAGAGCTTCCTTTAATACACTGCAGTATTTGATACAGCCAGATCCTTGGGGAGGAACAAGCCAGTTCTTCCCCAAAAATCTGTTGTTGTTGTTATGTGCCGTCGAGTCATTTGCGACTCATAGCGACCCTATGTACAACAGCCCTAAACCCTGCTCTATCCTGTGCCAATCGCACTGCCTCTGATACACCCATTCCGATTACCCCAGTCACTGAATCAATCCACCTCATAGAGGGTCTTCCCCTCTTGTGCCAACCCTCCACCCTCCCAAGCATGGTGTCCCTCTCCAAGGATCTGTTCCTCCTTGCAACATGCCCGAAGTATGTGAGACAAATTGTGGCGTCAGGATTGGTGGAAGATCTATTAACAATATGCGTTATGCAGATGACACAACTCTGCTTGCTGAAACTGAGGAGGACCTCATGCACTTGCTGCAGAGGGTCAGGACTGAAGCCTTCAGTATGGACTGAGGCTCAGTGTTAAGAAGACAAAGATACTCACCACTGGACCAATTGGTAGCATCAGGATGGATGGCAAAGAGATTGAGATTGTTCACAGCTTCAGTTTGCTCGGCTCCACAGTCAACACTCTTGGCACCAGCAGCCAGGAAATCAAAAAACGTATTGCGATGGGAAAGTCTGCTGTTAGGGACCTCTCTAAAGTACTCAAGAGCAACGGTGTCTCTCTGGAGACTAAGGTGCTCCTGATATAGGCCATGGTCTTTGCAATCACTTGTTATGCATCAGAGAGTTGGACAATGACTAGGGAGGACAGAAGGAGAATTGATGCCTTTGAGCTGTGGTGCTGGAGAAGAGTATTGAATGTACCATGGACTGCCAAGAAAACAAACAGATTCACCCTGGAGAGGGTTAAACCAAACTACTCCTTGGAGACAAGGATTCTGAGGCTTCGTCTGACATACTTTGGGCATGTTCCAAGGAGGGACCGGTCCTTGGAGAGGGACATCATGCTTGGGAGGGTGGAGGGACGGCACAAGAGGGGAAGACCCTGTATGAGATGGATTGATTCAGTGACTGGGGTAATCGGAATGGGTGTGTCAGAGGCAGTGCGATTGGCACAGGACCGAGCAGAGTTTAGGGCTGTTGTACATAGGGTCGCTATGAGTCGCAAACGACTCGACGGCACAGAACAACAACAACAACAGATCCTTGGGGAAGAACTGGCTCCTCCCCCTTCTGCAAGCCTGGGTGTAGCCCAGCAAAGGCAGGTGGTCATCTGGAGAGCTAGGGGTGAGGGGCTCTGGCTGACCAGTGCCTCTCGCTCTGTGTACACCTCAACTGCTTCCCTGTACAGCTAATGCTTAGTGCTAGGAAGTTGGGCTCGTTCATTAATTGGGCACATTTTGTTGATTGTGGGACGTTAGGCAGGTAGCTGAACTCTGCTCTGTAGTTTCCACCTGTTTCAAGACTACTCTTGGCTGGGATTCTTGTAAGGACTAAACGAGCTAACAGCTGGATTGTGTTAATGGCGTCTTGTGTTTACCATATATCTTCTCGTTGCTGTTGATTCCAATTCATGTCGACTGCATACGTACAGGGTACAACTACCGTGCTGAGTTTTCAAGGCTACTTCTCAAAAGCCTTTGGGTGATTTTTGAACTGCTAAGCTTTTAATAAGTAGTCTGTTGTTTCTAGGTGCCTCCAGTTAAGTACGACTCATAGCGACCCTCTGAACAACAGATCTGAACCCTGTCCTGTCCTGATCCATCCTCACCATGTCTGACACACTCAAGCCTATTGCTGTGATCACTGTGTCAGCCCACCTGGTTAATGGTTTTCGTCTCTTTTGCTGCCTTCCACCGTCCCAAGCATGATGTCCCTCTCCGAGGAAAGACCTCTCCTATCAACATGCCCAGAGTATGGGAGATGAAGCTTCATCATCCTTGCCTCTAAGGAACACTCTAGCTGCACCTTCTCCAAGACATACTGGCTTGTTCTTTTGGCAGTCCACGCGATCTCCAGCATGCTTCACACGATCTTCAGCATGCTTCTTCAACAGCACAGATCAAAGGCATCAATTATCCTCCTGTTGTCTTTAGTTCAGCTCTCAGTGACTAAAAAGACCATGGCATGGATCAGGTGTACCTTAGTTTTAAAACTTACATCATTACTCTTCAATCTTAAAAAAAAATTGTGCTACCCAGGTTAATTTCCTGAAGTCTACAGAAAGTGTTTGTAACATGCTACAAAGATAGGATAAAAATGACTTTTTTAGTAGGGAGAAGCAAGGTTCAAAATCTTATTTATATCTAGTTTGGATCATGGTTCTCAAGCCTGAACTACTCACCTGGGGAGATTTTAACCTAGCATCATTTGCCTGGGGTGCTAATCCATAGTCTTGCTCCAGGTGTTTGTGACTGTGGTATTGGGAACCACTGAGCTAACTCAGGTAGGAGCACATGGGGCTTTGAAGCTTTATTAGGTGGGCCTTCACTCACTCACTGGTATTACTCTCAAATTGGAACTTAGTCCAACTTCATGTCGTCAACTGGTTGCAGAGGCTGAAAATCACATGTTAGGAGATTGCCCATCTTTTCTAGTGTAGCAGCTGGTGGAGTCAAGCTTTTGGGTTGATGCTCAATTTTTTACCTATTATGTGAATAATCTGGGGGCAATTTTCACCAAGATGGCAGAAAAGCCCTTCTGAGAACTTCTTTGAAGTTGTCCCCTGTGGCTGTGGGAAGAGGTCTGTGTCCAGTCCTTCATGCATGACCTTGACCTGTTGTTCCTGCTGATCCCTTCAGGGAGTAGTTACTTCTTGGCGTGGTCTGGTCCATACTCCCCAAGACTCCAGGGGGCCTTCTGCAGACCTTCAGGGCTCTTTGCTGGAGCAGCCCTTCAGTACTCTAGACTCTTCTGCAAACTCTGACTGCCTCCCCCTGCCCCCCAACTCTCTGGACTTTACCTTTGTCTTCTAGGCTCTACCTAATCCCTGTCTCTGAGTCATGGCTGAATATTGTCTCCAGAGCTAAACCAGATACTCATAGATTTCCCATCACTTGAAAATGTCTTGGAAAATGTTTGGTAGTTGATATCCAGCATTGTGTTGTCATCTGCCGTCAAAGTGGAACTGACTCCTAGATGACCCTCCAATGGGTTTTCTTTCAGAGGCTTAAATCCCATAGAGAGTGTCCATCTTTCCCCTGAGGGGCAGCTGGTGGATTAGAACTGCATGCCTTCATGTTGGCAGCACATCTCCCTAGCACCGAGCCACCAGAGCGCTCTACCAGTGCTTTAATTGGCCCTTGTTCTGTTTCCAAAGTGGGCGTGTGTAAATGCACTGTTAGGTGGGCTTTTCCACCTCCCAGCTTTCTCCTCACTCTTTCCTGGGATAATCTCTCAAGTTTACACAGTTTCAAAATGCTTTTGAGGGGGAGAGATAAGAAGACAGGTTTGTAAAGAAACTTTTAAACATTTTATATATATATTTTTCCCACTGGGAATTATTTATTCAATAAAGCTTTAACCTCTGTAATTTCTAGAAAACGGAACAACTCAACAACAAATACACAAATAACCCAATGACAAAATGGGCAAAGAAAATGAACCTACGTATCTGTGAAGACAACAAACATAGGAAAAGATTTTTACCAGCATTTGCCACTATTGTAATTATATCTTTGAGTCTACTATGACCCCTCGTGACCCTATAAACAACAGATCTGACCTTTGCCCTATCTGCTCCAACCTTATGGGCTCCACAATCCTTGAAACCATGATGAGAATCAACCTAAACATTTTACATTTTTGTTTTTTAAACTTTGAGTGAAAGCTTACAAAGCGAATTGGTTTTTTAGTTTCAACAGTTCATCTATTTTGTTTTGTGACAATGCTTAAGATCCCAGCTGGTGGTCTAGTGGCAGAAAGCTGTACTGCATCCCAAAGACACTCCCCCCGCGGCTTGGTGGGAGAAGGATGGGGATCTCCTCCCATGTGATTTACTGTCTCTGCAAACCAGCCGGAGGGTCAGCTCTGAGTTGGTTCTGACTCAATGACACACAATAACAACAACAGCAACAAGACGATTACCTCCACCTTTGGGCTATTGAGAATAATGCTGCTCCGAACACTGGTGTTTGTGTACCAGACTGCTTGCTTTCTGTCTTTCTGGGCATATCCCTAAGAGTGGGGTTGCTTGGCCTTAGGGAGTTGTACATCTACACTTCCCTAATCCTTAAGGGCCAAAAGGGCCCATCTCCTTCCGTGCAATTTACAACCTCAGAAAACCTGATGGAGGGTCAGCTACGAGCTTGTTTCCACTCAACAATGAGTAAGAGATGATAATACCAGGTTTAACTTTTCTAGCAACTGCCAAACTGTTTGGCTGCATCATTTTGCAAACCTTGCAGCAATGAATGAGGGTTCAAATGTCTCCACATTCTCACCAACAGAAATGGTGGTGTTTCAAGCAAAGAGTTCTTTAATGTCCTTTCAGCTTTTACTTTTTAAAAAAAAATTATTTTTTTTGGTGTGTGTGCCATCAAATGTTATCCAATTGGTACAGGAGGTGATTGCCACTCCTTATCCAGCAGAGCGCCTGGTGGATTTGAACTATATGCCTCTGGGATTGCGGTGCAGCTTCTTGCCACTTAGCCACCAGAGCTCCCTTTAGCTTTCACTTTTAAGGAGTGTTTAGTATTGAGTGCTCGTGGCTGCAATATGGATTGAAGCCCAGCATCAAGAAAATGAAGATTCTCACTACTGGGCTAATTGGCAGCACCATGATGGGTGGAGAAGAGACCGAGATTGTTAACAATTCCTGCTTGCTTGGATCCAGAATCAGAAGAGGAACTGCATTAGGAAAATCTGCTGTCAAGGACCTCTCCAGAGTGCTGAAGAGCAGGAATTTCAGCCCAGAGACTAAGGTGCACCTGATCCAGGCCATGGTCTTTGCAACTTGCTGTGCTTCAGAGAGCTGGACAATGACTTAGGAGGATAGAAGAAGCATTGATGCCTTTGAATTGTGGTGCTGGTAAAGAGTATTGAACATAGCGTGGACTGCCAAGAAAGTTAACAGATCTGTCCCGGAGAGGGTGAAATGAAGCTGATTCTTGTAGGCAAGGATTTTAAAGCTCCATCTTACATACTTTGGGCGTGTTGCCAGGAGAAACCAGTCCTTGGAGAAGGACATCATGCTTGAAAGGGTGGAGGGACAGTGTAGGAGAGGAAGACATGGATTGACACATAACTAGGATAAGCAGGGTAGGTGTTTCAGAGACAGTGAGATTGGCTCAAGATAGAACAGGGTTCAGAGCTGTTGTGTGTGGGGTTGCTATGAACCGTTGTCGACTCATCCGTACACAACAACTGCAGTTAATGCTGGTTAAGACATTTAACAGGAGGCCTTTGGGGAAAACAGCTCTTTTTGGTGCAAGATTTTCCTGTGGCCACAAGATGACAGCATTCTCCTGACCAACTCAGCGTTGGCTGAGTGAGAAACTAGGGAAACAAAACCTTGGTGTCCTCAGTTTTCCTTTATTTATATTTTTAAATAGCTTGACCATGTTAGGTTTTCTAAAGTGAGCAATTCGTCAAGAGTTTAAGACCCAGCAGAGCTCAGGAAGTGGTTTATCTTGAGGATTAGGTCACAAATGATAAATTGACAGCGCTTCAAATACCAAAATCCAAAGATTCGAAGCACTCGTAAAAAAATTTAATGAGTTTTGCTTGTTTGGATAAACCAGACATATTTTACCTTATCAAGCTCAAGCCTTTTCCCTCAACTCTATTCCTTCCTTCCCTTAACAATCTAATTCTGACAGAAAAGTTGCAATATTATCTTTTCAATGTAATCAGTGCCATGTAAGCAAAATATTTATAGGTTTTAGAAATACAGCAAATGAAGGGTTGGTTTGTTTGTTTTTAGAACCCTACTTTGTATTTCATCAACAGAGTTACCCTGAAGGATGGTTTGACTGGATAATATTTCCAATCACAGTTGAGTATCATAGGCATTTTCTGTTATTGAAAAAAAAATGCCAGCCTTCACAGTTTTATACCATTATATTATCATTTTACATTCTACAGCGCTTGGAAAAATTCAGAGCACTTTCTCATGCATTATTATCTTACTGGGGGGTCCCTCAGCATGGGAAGCATTACTCAGTTTGGAAATTTGATTCCTGATCTGTGCTTCCTTTTCTCTGGGGATGTTTTGGTTTTACTGAGCTGTTCTTGCCCCAAATGACTCTATTTGTAGCCGGAGGGGCTGCAGATAAAGTAAACTGTTAATCAGCGCTTTAAATTTGAATGAGTTCTTAGTAGTCTCTCTCTCTTTTATTTTACAGATCAGGAAATGGAAACATTGAGTTGAATTTCAATATATGGGAAAGCATTTTGCTAAATGTTAGCCACAACTTAGCTCAATCAATTTTATTCATTATCTCCTTTGTATATCAGACAGTACCCTCAATATTCGAATCCATGGGCTATGGAAATGTCAGGTGCTATTTTTAAGTCACACTGGATAATTTTTTACTACAAATTAGGATAAAAAGGTTCCTGTGTTAATGAAAAAA